TTTTTTTTCTGTTGGCTTAAGCCAACAGTCGTCCTCAGACCCCTGCGTGCTTTTCAGCCACGCACTATCAAGGTACAGATCCGAGTTCGAGTCCTTATGGACTCGACGAAAATTTATATATATACTTTTTTATTTTTTTATTATTATTTTTTTATTTTTTTTACGCGTGTCATCCTTGCGCAGGCCCATATAGACCTCCGCGCGGCTGTTTTCAGCCGCGCGATCTCAGCGATCGCACGGCCGAAAACGACCGCGCCAAAAGGTTGGGCTGCTCCAAAAGGAGCTAGCTCAGTTGCCTATTGTCGGGTTCGATCCCTATATCCACGGGGTAACAACCTGGCTACGGTACCTACTGGGTTAGCTCCTTTTCACATACAGGAAGGAGCAGCCATTCTATATGAAGGGCTTCTGCCGCCCAGCAGGTCCCCGTACGGCGCTTAGCAGGCTTTGCCCGCTAAGCCTGTATACCACCATGGCTGGCTGGCTGGGTTAGCAGCCGACGGCCTTAACGGCTACCCGACCCAGCCGGCCCCAACGCCATCACCCCCGATCCTTGGCGCAAAAGTCATGCGGGCCCTAAAACTAACTGTCCCTCACGCTGCCTCCCATCCTCGTCGCAACGACTCCTTTTTAGCCCGCTTAGGCCCTGAAAATAGGTCTAACTTTAGTCTTTTCATGACCGCGCACCACCGCGGCCCTGTCGGAAACCATGGACGACAGGCCGCACTGCCGACTCCCGCTGTTTCGAACGAACGTCAATGACGTCACGCGTCAACGACGTCCTACGTCATCGACGCCAGGCTTTAGGTTTCTTAGTTATTGGGTTGGTCTAAATAACCTTTGGCAACGTCAATCTCATCAAGTCTTTCAATCCAAGAAAGGGTCGGGCAGTGTCTGACCTTGAAAAACCCGGGCAGAAACCCTTACAGGGGTTGGGTTTCTGTCCCGACAACGGTGCTTGCGGTCGAAGTAGTTCTTGCGCGGCGCGTTCGCCGGTTTGTCCACGTAGATGTGTGTGCAGTCAACTGCGTCCTGGTAGTTTGGAAAGCCCTTGTCCAGAAACGCCCATAGCACGACGTGTTTCCGCACCCCCGTCGGCCACGATATCTTCTCCCCGTACACCCTCAACATAGCGGCTGTCACATCGCACACAGCTCGAACTCTGGAAGTCTTGCCCATGTCGAAGGATGATGTGTTGTTCTCGTAAGACTCTCCTGTAGCCCACCTATACAGCGAGTACGCGATGATCTGCTCCGGCTGGAGTGGCTCCCTGTAAAACGTCACCTGCCGCTGCACATGAGGCGCACAGGCTTCGCTGATCTCCATGAACACTCTCCTGGACATGCGGAGCTTTTCCTGGAAGTAATCGTCTGTCGCGTCATCGCACACCCGCAAATCCTCCCAAGTCCCGCCAGCTCTCCGCCTCATCCACCAACGTGGCGTCGCCCGAGGAAGCAAACCGCACCCGATTGCAGCGCACAGCTGAACCACGGCCTCGGAAGTGGTGATGCAGTCCGGGGCGTCCAACACCCTCTGCAACAGAAGCCTCTGCCGCCGCCTCGAAAGCGCTGCCTTCATGCGCCTGGCCGCACTCTCTACTTGGAAAAGACGGACAACGGCAACCGCAGCCACCGCGACAGCTGTCTTCTCCGTCGTCGACAGCACAGCAGGGTCATCGCCATCGCAACCCTCCATTACGCCCTTCCAACACGAAAAACAACGTCCACCGCCACCCACCTGCGTATACCTCTACCACCACGATTGAAGACGCCTGCAACCAGGTCAGGAAGACAGCCCTGCCCAACAATGTTCCGCCCCGTTTGGAGCGTCCGCCCACCGCCGCGCGCCTCCACGTGGCGAACGCAACTGCCGATTGGACGTCTTCGTTTCGCCGCGTCGACCACACTTGAGACAGTGGCGGTGAGGCGCCGCTGAAATACGCAACGCGATGGCAACCGAAACCCTGCGAGGCGTGGACTGCCCCCTGGCCGACCCGCCTGTGCGCCGCCACCACGTCGCTCCGCAAGAAGAAAATTCGAATTTTGAATTTTGAAAGGGGTTGTTCCCGCCTTGGCGATTTTCTTTTCCAGGGCCCGTGACGTTTTCCCGCCGTCCACCTTTTGGACCACCACGCCTACTACACGGACATCCCGAATCGGAGGCCGGACATGCCTCTCGCGGCTGTGTATAGTCTCATGAAACTGGCCGTGGGAGAGCCCCGAGGATTCGTCCTCGAGGCGATTCTCCGAAGACAGGTGGAACGACACCACCAAAAAAAAAAAAAAACTCCGAGGATTTGTCCTCGGAGCCCGAGGACGTGCTGAGGAGTGTCGAACGACGCCCATACTCCACGTTGTTCTCGCCTGTCGAACTGTGCTGACGTGTCTTCTATCTCGTTTGTCGTCGCAGGGGAGCAATTCGCACATCGAGCTGGAATACGACACGTGTCAAGCAGACAAGCAACACGTTGTGCAAATTTTGCTCTCAAAGGGCGGCAAGAGAAGAGAGGACGAAGGAGCCAGCTTCGGTAGAACCTGTACTGCTCCTTCAAGGACAGAATTCAGGGAGGTGCAGAGAGAGAGAGAGAGAGAGAGAGAGAGAGAGAGAGAGAGAGAGAGA